CACAGGAAAGTACGCACACACACATATATAAAACACACACATGTACACACAGAGGCGCCTCTGATCAGGCCTCTGCATCTTCATAATGGAGGTAATTAGCTGCTCAACAAGGCTAGCTCAGCATTATGATTAGCACTTCTTTCTGAGCCCACTCAAAATCTGACCAGGGTGGCCTCTGCTGTCAATCCACACGGAGCTACATTGGAACTGCAGCAAACATCAAAAAGTTTATTAGCTTAGCCTCATGATATATCAATGTAAATATTACTCAGACAGAGAAGCCAAATTCTGACAGGCTGAGGCTGTTCTTTATACCCAAACCCCAGTCAATAGATAGCATGCATTAATTATTAATATGTAAATATTTATTTTGTATCAATCGAAGTACATTTGGGGTGTTTTACTAACCTAAAAGCAGAAGCTATCAATCAATCAGCGACTCACAAAGCGATGAAAAAAGAAATATAATGAAAGGGAGCGCAGATGATGGCAGGAGTACGGCTGTCCAGCGATGCAGCAAAGTGACCTGTGTGAGTGTAGGGGAGCTCTTATTTTAAAAAAAAGGTGTAAGGGTCTCTATCAGCATGCTGAACTGTTGACCCTGACACGGGGAAGGAAGTGCTCGGCCAGCTGCTTGCTATTATTCATCTCTCTGGATAGGCCTCAAAAGAAAGGTGATAGCGAAGGGGACGTGGGTGGGAGTGAGGTGGCATGAGAGCGGGAGAAAGAAAATGGGTGGGTCAGATCATAAAAAGAAGTTGGGCTTGTGAAGTGCAGCGAACGGTTTGATGGAGGCCTCCTGAGCTATGATGCCCGTGCTTTTTAAAGAGCGTTGTGCTCAAATCGTTAATCAAAGGTTGATGCGTATCAGGGTGACCTCCTCCACACACACACACAGCAAAGCCCCACCTTAGCCAGGTGCCATTTTTCAAACTCAGTGAGATAAAGATCCTCAGGTTGACACCCAGCTCAAGAGAACTGTTGATATGATTTAAGTCTGATTTATGTGTGTGTGTGTGTGTGTGTGTGTGTGTGTGTGTGTGTGTGTGTGTGTGTGTTTCCATCAACAAAACATGAGGAGGAACCTCTGCCGCCCCTGTGTTTATCTTATATGATTGGACACATTAAACTCTGTTTATTACTACATATACTACTCCCTCCAGAGGGAGCTGTACAAAGTCTGATAAATTTCCTCACTTGTGTGAGCACTGGTTGGGGCTGCAAGTGTGAAAGGATCAGAAAATCTAGGAGGTGCATAGTTAGAACAAACTGAAAACTCTGTGGCCCATTTCTCATCTCTTAAGGCTGGCGGCTCAAGGTTATATGATATGCAGAACACATGAAGAACACCAAGTAACATGGGTTTGAACAAAAAAGTTAAGAAGTTGAAAAGGCTTAATAAAAACATTATTTCAATATTGATGGACATAGCTCTTTTATATTCTTGTGTGACGTTACTATATCGATTTAGAAAACCCTTCATTACAACTTCATTACAACCCATTGTTCAACAGCATGTTCGACACTTGATGTCGTCTTTCCCTTTCATTTGTCACCTGTGCGTATAATTATGCTTATGAGTTCTGATAGAACATATAAGAATATATAAGTGGGGATCATATTTTTGTGCACTTTTCAAGTAAAAAAAAAGTCCCAAATAAACTACATACCACTTAAAGCTGATTTCTTCTATTCCGAGGGATCACATTTCTCCTCCTGTAACAAAAAATACATAAATAAATGATAATAAGAATAAAATTACACAGCTGTAGAATTCATAGGGAGGGGTTTTGAATGTGTTCAACTGCAATCATTAAGCTTACAAAAAATTGACTCTTTTTTTAAAACTTTGACAAAAAAGTATTTTTTCCCCTTTAACCTACTGCAGTTAGCGTGCAAGTAAAATACATCAAACTTCACAAACACGCTACGTACTGAGTTTCGCTTCTATCTAGTGTGATCGCTCCCGCTCGCTCTGTTTGATCAAGAGCAAGGGAAAGAGAGAAAGTGGTATAGAGAGCGAGAGAGAGAGAGGAAAAATGAGCCTGCCAGTGGTTAATTGAGCATACAGATTCCTAATGTGTCAGGCGGTGGCCTTGCAGATGAGGGATGGCACTTTTTTACGATGCATCTTCCTTTGTTTCCTCTTTAAGGCTAATGAAGTCAGCCTTCCAGTCGCCACCTGGGCCGGACGTTCAGACACTAGAGACAGTTTCACATCCCCATTCACAAAGTCTAGCGGCGAATCGTCATCTCCGACACCCTCTCCACCCCTACCCCCAACCCTCAGCCAGCCGGAAGGTAAATACACGCACATGCAGCAACACATAGAATGAAGGACTCAATTTTGGGCATGCTCATACACACTGCTCCAACTATATATTAAAAAATGCATGCACATACGCACTAGTCAGGCTTATTAGTTGGACTTTTGTGATAAACTCTCACTGTAGGCCAGCATTTGCAGCATATTCATTATCAAGGCTGCAGACCTGTTTATTTTTACTGTCTCAAAACAGCAAGCATCCATTATCCAAAGATTTTTTTTGTCTCTCTTGCTTGTCTTTTCTTTTTTTTCCCTACATGCCTTTAGGTCACCCACTAATGAGCTTAACACTGAGGAAACGTGGAAGCGATTAGATGAGGCTTGGCTGTTTGAACAATGGGGTGATGATATTGTACCTTATGATTACAAGCATTTATATCAACAGAAACAGGGGAGGAGAAACAAGACAGGCGAGAAACTCTGTAGATTTCCATGTGCACGCACGGCTGGGTGACTTTACATGGCTTTCAGTGTTTGCAAGCAACTAGTTATTGATGATCTCAGTTGTTGGCAGCCTCCGATTCCCTCCTTATCCTTGATCTGCTTTAGCAAGTTAGGCCTAAACCTCCCTTAGTGCCACTTTTTCTCTTTGCCGTGGCAACCCAGGCCAAGTAGCTCTGGTCACCCAAACATGTTCAAGGTGCTCCATGGCCATATGTTTGCTCACTGGGGAGCGAAGTGGGGAAGAGCTGGACTGTATGACCTTCACCCAGGTTGAGCAATGAATACTCTAGGCTCTGCTCACTTGGGTTCATGCCAGGTGAACACAGTAGTCGAGCATCCCAGACATGCAACTGGATCCCAGCAAGAATTTCACCGTACAAGAGGTGGAAAAACAAAAGGGTGTAACTGTTGGGAACTGTTAGGAGCAGAAGCTCAAAGTGGTGTTTTCGGGGTGATGTACATTAAAAAAAGGCTAAATTGTTTTGTCTTTTTAAAGATGTTTGCATATAGTTAGTTCATATATAAAGGGTTGGATTGTTAAGACTTTACCAAATTCAGAGGACATCCTGTCCTGATATGTCACAACACCAATCTTAGCACGGAAACTGCAGACAAACTGGTCATAGTGCAGCATTTGCTTGGCATGGCCTCAGAATTTGGCATTTCAACAATCCTTTTGATTTCCTCTAAGTCCAACTCCAACTTCCATTTTTCAGGTTGTTTCATTATTTGATATCAATTCCCCGTTTAGAAATATTCAGCTCTGGCAATTTCCAGAAACGCTGTGGCAGAAATGCCTCACACAGTAGCAGTAGTTCCCTGTTTTAGTTCTCTTGGGTGACAGGCAAAAGTGTTGTGGTTTTACAAGCACTGCGTCAAGATTCTAAAAATAATCTGTGCCTTTTTCTTTCAGTCGCGGCATTTTCACTATTACAATTATATGGCAGTTTTTAAATGACTGTATCTAGTTCAATTGATTTTAATAACAAATGTCAGAACAATATATATATTTATTTATTATTATATGTGTAACTGAAAAAGTGTTTATCACAGTTTGTCATCCTTCTATATATAACATGTTTATACATTTCATGTATGCTTAAAATCCACAGTAATTAAATGTCATTGTTCCCCAGTGGCCTTCCCTTACATCATTTCTACGCATTGCTTCGTTTTAACCTCTTTAACACGTACAACCTCTTGAATTATTCCATCTGCATGGGTGCAAAGTAAGCAACAGATTAAACCTGAGCTGATAACTCAAAATGTCGGCATAGTTGAGTCAACAAGGGACCTTTATGGGAAGGGAAAGGGCTGAAGGAAAATGCCATTACTCTCCAGATAATTTAAACATGTGTTGGCATTTATCTTGGTGGTCCATGTCCGAACACTAATGACAAACTCTTGTTATTAGTGGACTGAATCAAAGCCAAAGGCATGCCCACCCAAAACTTTAATCCCTTAATGTTCCCCACTCTCTAATTTGGTATTACAAAAAATTATGCTCAATTCATAGGTACAGCATTTCTTCAAAGTAAGTATAAATAGAGTGTAACAAAACACATATTTGACATGGTTTGGTGTTTTTTTTTTCTTCGTTCTTTTTTACATCTCTCTTTCTGTCTTTCCATCATGGTCGTTCACCACCAAACTTTGTTTTCGTGGGAAGATTAAATATTTCTGCTTGAGAAAACCCTTTAAACTATGAAATGACTGCTGTCACTGACACACAGAACCCCCATCTGTACACACACACACACATCACGCTCCCCTGATTTTGGATGGATAGATGGTTGGGAAGGGAGGGGGGGGCAGAAATATATAATCTCCTGAAAAGAATGAGGCCCTCTGGGATTTTGTCAAAGTGGCCCCTCTCTGCACCAGGATTGGAAGAGAGCGGGGAGGGAGTGCTGGTGGTGTTCTTGCTTGGGTGGGAGGTGGGGAGTGGGGGGCTAAAACATGGCCACTCCACACTGTAACCTGAGCCAGAAGGGGGCCAATCTGTCAAATAATTAGCTGTTGCCCGGCACAAAGGTTTTATTTGCAGGAATTTCATCGAGGCAGGATTGAATAATATGTCTGTGTATTGTGCGGGGTCATGGGAACATCATCTCTTACTGGTGGGCCATAAAAGACGGCTAAATGATAATGAGAAAAGGCTCTGGTAATTCAATTCCTCAAGCGTTGGTTTCCATCCTTTTTCCTCCCCCACCCCTCCTCTCTTCCTTTCTCGCTGTCTTTCTGTCCTTTTTTTCTCTGCCCGGCTAATTGCGGAACTTCATGTTGATGTTGAAGTGGCTTTATTCAGTGTGCATGAAAACACGCACACAGCGTGCTTTAGCTGCAAAGAAAGAAGATGCTTTTAGATCATTTTTTTATTCACTCCACTCTTATTGATTTTTATGTAGTATAGAGTTCATGAAAGACTAACTAAATATACAGGATTTGCCTCTCCAAGATCTAAAGCTTTGTCATGCAAACAGTGGAAAATAATAAATGAATGGGCATGCACATATACAAACATAACAGAAGCTATCAGAGAACAGATTTAAATGCATTTGATATTTTGCTGGTAAAATACAAATAAATAGATAATAAGTTGGATATGCTTCCCACTCCCAAACCCACTGGCTCAGTTGTCTTTTTGTACACTGACCTCTGACATCTGAGAGCAGCCGACCAGGAAGTGGATAGTGTTAAAAGGGATTGATTGGTTTGTGGTCTATAGATGATTGTTTATATCATTCCATACTGGAGGTTTGACCTTTGGCGACCCTTCTGTGGACCAATCCGCTGAGAGCCATGACCTGTATCCATTTGCAACGGCGCTAATTAGCTTTGACGGGTCTGGGTTTGCGTCGGGGTTGTAAAATGAAGCCCTGCAGTGCCCTGATTGAAGAAAGACCCGGCTACTCCACTTTGGGCCCACCATTTCCTCCCGCCAAATGTCAAACACATTAAACTTAATGTACCAGCAAATCTTACTCAATTATTTGTATGTTGTTGAGGTGTGTGTGTGTTTGCGCGCCCGTGTGGTGCCGCTAAATGGCGTTCATATGTCAGTGTATGTTCAGCTGTCTGAACACACTCAAGCATGCTGGTGTTTACATGTAAGCGGGGAGCGACAGAGTAGGAGACAGAGAGTTTGCTGTTTCACTGGCACGTCCATGTGGGATGAGGTTACACATCCTGCGACGCACTGCAGAGTGATGAGGAAACTTGCTTTTAAGTAAAATAATTGGTTTATTGCATCCTGTGATCTGGCTAATTGTAATGAAAGCAAGCTTACAATTTTCCAATTATAATTCTATGTCGATTCTGTTCCTCTCTAATAAAGAGGAGCACTGATGCAAAACAAAATGCCAGGACTCCATTTCCTGCTTGTGCCTTAGAGCTATTCAGAGATGAGGGATGTACACACCCTCCAAATATCAGCCCCAATACCCCACATAAAGCATCCGACTGACGAATGAGAGCAATACTAGCGTGAGGAAAGTGTTTCCGTGTACAGCACACTTTCACAAATCAAATACAGACATTTTTTGGGGGGAAAAAAGAAAAGAAATCATTTAAATTTCAGTATAAAATAATGCATTATACATTAACAAAGTATGTAGCACAAAATGATTGGATCATGTGACAATGTGCTACTTTTTTTGTTACTCATCACCTAACTGACACGAGTCACTCTTTGTGCCTCTGACAAATCATCGGATAAAAATCTCCTCCCCTCACAGTTGTCGCCCCTCTCTCCCTGCTCCTCCTCCACACGGACAAGCTCACTTGTGCCTCTCGGTATCAGTCGCTCATATGTCTCTCCACCCGGCCTGTCAGTCTCCTACTAAATTCCCTGGATCACAGTACATCTGACAGTATTTCATCTCGGATTTGAGGATAAGTGAGAGGATTTCAGTTCAAGCTGGGAGCTTAGCATGAAAATTCCGCT